CTCTGAGTTACCCTGGAGATTAATATGTGATAAGATTTGCTCCATTACGGCAGAACAGTTATTTGGAATTTCATGACCTTTCAATTACAGGTCTGTTATGACAGGCTTTCTCACTAGGACAAAGTTTTGAGAAGCTCTCTACTCCTGCTCCCCCCCAAAATACCCAACTTACAAGTAGAATGGAAGGAAAAAAACAATCTGAACAATGCTGAAGGCAAGCACTATGTTCGTGGAAAACAAGTGTTCTCAGATACTGTGGACTGCCCTTTCAGCATAAAGTATACTGAACTAGCTAGCGTACTGAGTAACCAGAAAGTTTCAGAGGGGGTCCAAGAGCACCTCACTGAACTCTGTTTCAGAAACTTCCTGAAATAGTTCATTATTTGAACCTCATGTTTAGCAAAATACTGGAGTGGGAATATTTCCCAGAACTTTTTGCATGAAAATACTGCATTGCATCCAGATTTGCTAAAGAACAAAGATATTAATCAGGAGGTATCAAAAGAGGCAGAGGCTAGGGCCATTAGTAGGCAGTACAGGATAAACTTTTGGTTTGCATGTGATTTTGAACAGGAGGGAGTCAGGGGACTTGCACCAGCTGGATCTAGGCTGCCCTGAGAGCACTGGGGAAAATGTAACCCAAGCATGCCTCTTTTGCTTGAAAAATCTCATTTGCAAGTGTAAGCCACCCAGCCCCTGCCTTGCCTTGTCATTTCTCCTCACCACAGAAGCAGGAACCAAACAGCAGGTTTGCTCCTGGGCTAGGGACTGTGCCCACGATGGTTTGCCTTTGCCCTGCTGTTATTTGCTCTAGATCAAAAACAATAGGTTACTTTTATTTTCACTGTGCTCTGATATCGATTAATGAATAATTTCATGAATTTCAGTCAACTCATGCTGTGTACTGACCCATTTTCAGTGGAGCTTTCTTTGAAATAGTATAGCCTCACTGAGGTTTAAGTTCACTGGATATAACTTCACTGAAATGGAGGCTACTGGCGGCTGCTTAGTGACCTGAAGCTCATTTTCTGGTGCTGTAGAAGTTCTCATACAACACATTATAAATACAAAATGCAGAGGAGTAGGACCACAAGAACCATTTCATATTTAGAACCAATGCCACAACTGCTAGAGCCTCTGCTTGGTTTGGATTTCAAAATTGTTTCTTCATATTAATTCAGTGCTCTATTAGTCTTGTCAGTCCCAGTCTGAGAAAAAATGGTTTCATTAATCATTACATCCTACACATTGAACAGAAAAAAATAACAGCTCTAGCAGTTAGCTGCACAGCCCAGCATTACAGGAGTGAGCTCCTAAGGTCTTCTACCAGTAAGGATGCAGTACCATCAGCATTTCTTTTACATGGCTTTAAGTCTCTTTGTACTGTCAGCCTGGCATCTAGTTAACCATGGCTATTTGGCAGTCACAGGTTTCAAAGCCTGCTTGTTGACTTACCATCACTTTTCATAGTGATTACTATAAAAGGACTATTATAATGGGAAAAGCTTTGCACAGTTTGTTGATTTGGTTGGTTAAACAGCTGCCCAAATCTTTCCACCTCTTCCAGCTTTCAGCCAGACAAACAGACAGCTAGCAATATATGGACAAATCAGAAGGTAAAATGAGCGTGTGTATCAGCTGATTTCAGAGTTGAATCCTTCGGTGATGTTTTGAATACACTTCAGTCTTCAGTCAATGAAAGAAGGACTTCAGCTATTACAAGTATGTTGTAGTCATTTCTGCAACCCATATGATATCAGTGATATGAATGATGAACAAGAATCTGGCACTATGAAACAGGGCTCTGATCTTTACATTAATTTGACAGATGGCAGCTCCTCAGATGCTGACGCTGTGTGAATGTGTGATAAACTGAAGGATTTGCCTGCTATTAGCCAGCCAAAAAAAAAAAAACCCCAAAAAAAAAAGAAACAACAAACCTCCAAGCCTAAGTACATTAAAACAAATTGCTGAAATTGATGAGGTAGGAGTACTTCCAAAAATGTCTGCGTGCATCACACATTTGCCTAACTGTTAGAACAAAAATCAGGGAGGTACAGCTTCCTGTTTCTGAAGGTTATTTTTCCTCCTGCTCTCAGCTTTTAATTCTCATTCCAAATTCCTGTAAATGAATACAGGAAAACACCCACCCAAAAGTCCTGGACACCCTCAAAATAATTTGGATATACTATCACTTCAAATAGCAAACCAGTTCCATCCTGACAACGTTTCGTAAACTCGCCACATTTCCCTGTCCAACAATAAGACATACAGCCTGGAAATTCCTTCTCAGTTCTTCATGAGTTAATTACACCCACATAGCTTCACTCCTCCCCTTCTTTCAGACACTTGAGAAGATTACACTATAAACTGCACCTTTCTTTTCTAGATCATCAATATTTATTACTCTCTTAATCAAGATATGCTGACCAATGAATACCATAACATGACATACTCTATAGTACATTTCACCAGTAGAGGTAAAATTATTTGCCATCATTGGTTTATATTTCTATTTATTGACCTTTTAATTCAATTTTGATTGCTTAATTTTTCTTTTCAAACAATCCTCAGTCAGAGCAGTTATAGTCAGTGCAATAAATGGAGTTGCAATTCATCATTCATTTCCTGCCCAGTATAAAACCACAACCACCACTAAATAATATTTCCAGTTTATAGAGTGTCATTTGGAGTATTTAAGAAGAAAAATAGATCCTTCCCCATTAACAGAGCCATGACTCACTCTGGACTGGAGAGGAGGAGTGCAGCTGTGGTGGCAAGTGCAAGCCTTCTGTAGCTCTGCTGAAGTCAGCTGAATTTCACCAGGGATGAATGCGGCCCGCTATAAGGGAGCACTCACTGCCTTTTATGAAATGATTTTCTGATCTATCAGAGAGACATTTATGACATATTAAATGGAATAATTATGAAGCTTGTACAGAAGACTGTCTAGTCCTTACAGCTCTTTTTGTACCAGTGGGACTTGAAAAAATGCTGTTCCTTGGAGATGTCACTCAGAACCCAGCAGAACTGACCCTATGGCCCTTGTTCAGGCTAAACTGTCTGTGGGATTGCCCCAAAACTTGCTAGAGACAAGGTAAGGGATCCCCACCATTGCGCTTGGGTTGTGGAAGTAGCCCTGTGCACTGGGTCAGGGCATGAAAAATGGGCTCTTGGATGAGACCTTGGTCCCTAATACCTGCTTGGCCTGCAGCTTAGCCCTGGGAGTAGTAGCAAGGATCACTCCTCCCATCGCTGACAGTAACAAAATATGCAATTAAACAGAAGCCTGTAATTCTACTTTCCATTTGACCTTTTCTTGGCTAATGTAATCAGAATGAAGACCTTCCAGCACCCCTGACTGATGCTTCTGGCCTCCTCTTCTAGTGGCTGGTAATTTTTTCCTCAGCTCAATAATTTAGTTCGATATTCATCATTTTTTAAATGTGTCACATGCCTCTTTTTTTCTCCCTTCTTCTTCACTCAGCTATTACTTTTCCCTAAGATTACTTGCCAAATCTTTTGTTCACGTTTTGAATTGATCAGTGCAATTGCTGGGCAACATTTATCTTCCATGAACATTTTGTATTAGTTTCTGATTCAAAGAGTTTAAACAGCCAGTAGCTGACCTAAGCAATTTTCTATTGTCACCTTTTACAGTGACACCCACCAGGTTTTTCAGCTCTGTACCTGGTTATGTCCAGGTACAGGAAACAAACACTGTGACACCAAGTCTCCATTAATCTCTGAAATCATTTGAAAATATAACTTTTGACATACAGAACAGAAAGGATAAAATTTGAAGGTGATGCCTTCAGAGACTCAGGAAGAATGCCTAATGCCTCTGACCTGTGCTGGAATTTTCCACCCAGTTTTCTCTTGGGGGTGGGAGAAATGGGCTGTGCAGCAGGCATGATCACCTTTATTCAGTCAAAATCTAACTTGATTCACTGTGATAGCTGTGCTTTTCATCTCATCTCCAGTTCTATGAGCTTCTTTTAATTTTAGAACTGTCCATTCAGACTTTCCCACATAAACCTATGACTCTTTCCATCAGTAGATGGGTTTCTTGTTCCTTCCCCCATGTTCCTGAGGGAGGACTTGGATTCTTCACTCCTTCTTCTTGACTTCCATAGAAGCACTGCAAAGAAATTTACTAATTTTTTGTGATTATCCAGGGAGAGAGAGGTAATTTGCTGGAGTCTACCCCTTTATGACCTCCTTCACTATGGAAAAAAATAAAATTCTCTCTAACTTCTCCTTCTGTTTTTTACCCGCTATTTTCCATTAAACAGTCCAGAAAAGTAAATACGGAAAACCTTTGGGAACATTTCCAGTCTCCACACAAGGAAAGTCACCTGAGAAACACAACTGTTTGTATTTAGAAAATGCAGTGGCAGGAAGGCAGGTGGTTTCTGAAGAAATTGTTTGATTCAGCATTAATCAGCAAACAGTTAAATGGCTTGCCATTCGATTTCTCCTACCTGACAAGAAATATTTTATAGCAAAAGGGCACCATAATATTTAGTATGCAGTATATTGGCAAAAGTGGTGATTAAACTTTATTAGAATGCATCCAGTAACACTTTTTGTCAGAAAACCTTTATTATTATTAACAAGGAAGATTATGAAAGTTTGTCTGGGAAATGTTTTACTATGTTTGTATGCAATGCTATAAATATAAATTATGGACTGCAAATTCACAATTTAATGTAATTCATCAAATTTTATCAGCTTCTGCATATGCAAGATAGGGCCATCACAATATTCTGCAAAGTCCTGTTCAAACTGAGAAATGGGTTGCCTTCACAAGCCATTTGTACATTGCTAAATATTCCTCCAACATATAGAAAACAGTTATAAATAATGTTCACCTTCAAAAAATGCATATGCAGTTAGTGATGCAGCCAGCAGCCACCACAACAGACTTTCTTATACCAAGTATTATCATAGACTCATAGCATGGTTTTGTTTGGAAGGGATCTTAAAGATCATCTAGTTCCAACCCTCTTGCCACAGGCAGGGACACCTTCCATGAGACCAGGATGCTCAAAGCCCCATCCAGCCTGGCCTTGAACACTGCCAGAGACAACTGGTTTAACAGAAACAGTTCAACTTTATGCTTTGTGCCTGTGGTGGATTTCTATGTTTTTCCCTAGCCACTGAGTTGCAAGAGACCTTCTAGGCCACCTAAACTAGTATTCGACATAGAGTGCTGCACCTACATTCACGTTTCAGCTTGAATCAGGAGCATCAATTCAATGCTTGTGAACACAGTCTCCTGTTGGTCCTGACTCACAACACTACAATTCTCCCTATGAAGCTGTCTGAGAGCACTCAATTTGGCTACCTTTCAGATGACACCAGATAGCTTAATTCACAGCCAGTGCACATCAACCACCAATGAGCACCCAGTCACTGGGAAACAGGTAAGGCTAACTGAAGTTATTGCTTCCCCCTGAAACATGTATAGGGTGGATACAGAATCCTCAGCAAAAGCTCTTTCGTTTCTCAGAGCAGACCATAATGTGCCATATGCCTTGCGCATGTAAACATAGCCAGTGCCTTATAGTCCTGTTCATAAGCACATCAAACACTGTCTCAAACTATTGCTCAACCTTACAGATCCACACTGAATCTGTTCTGTACATGCTTTTCAGCTTTGCTTTAATAGTATTTTTTGACAGGTAATTAGTGTCAAATATAATAACCACCAGCCACAAATACATCAGTATCATTGCTATTATTGTTACTCCTACTATTTTGATTATTGTTTTAATCATTGACTGAGTACTTCCTAAATTTCATTGTGTGCCAAAAGAACTAGACACGCTCTGCTACGATTTATATGCCATGTCATCCCAAGACAGATTTATGGATTGCACATGTTGAAACAGCTCTTCAAATACAAATGAGTTATCACTGTGTTGAGGAGTGAACTCAGTACCACATCATTGCCACTTTCCAAGAAAAATTGGCAAAAACCACCATGAAGGTGCTACAAGTATTTTACAAATATATGGCATAAATTAAGATCTATATTGCTGTTATGCTAGAAGCTAAGTGAGCCCAGCACCATCCTTCAGAACAGAGGTAGCTGAGACGAGAACAAGCAGAGGAGTAAGCACTGAGCTCTACTTCTTTACCTGTTAGCCATGCGGAAAGGGAGCAAAGCTCTAGGATGGACTAAGTATTAGCTGCACGTTCTCCTTTCCATCATTTACTTCTGAGATACCAAAGGTTTCTAAGGTCAGTGTAAAGTTCCTGAGTGAATCAACTTCTGCAATGTGGAAGTGTAATCAGAAAATGCAATCAAGAAATGATCCAGAGAAAATCCATATTTATTTACTGTATCTGCACTGGATTTTGTTTGCAAAGGAACCTCAAACCTCACCTTCGACAGTGCCTCCATCCTATACCCACATTTCCTCCATTCTGGCAACTGGGGAGAACAACAAAAACACTGTAGACCTCCACTTTGGCAAAGGCATTTATATAAAAGCTGTCTAGAATTGTTACCTGCTCAGAGCAAAGCAAACCTCCACATTATAATGGTTTAATGCATAGTATACACAAGATGTGAATTCTCAAAAACCAAGCCAGAGTTACTCTGAATGTCAAGGCTGTTTCTCCCTCACCTCCCATCTTTCCCAAAATTCAATCTAAATCTGAGACTAATACCCAGGCCACTTACAAATTGAACATTCAGGAATGCTGAACAGACATTCCATTTATCCAATTGTATCTTCAACTGACTTATAAATGTCTTCCTTCACCCAAAATCTGTTTGGATATAGTATAATACACAGTTTGAAAAAGAAAAAAGTTTAAGTGATCAGCATTATAATTACCTTTCGTGAAGAACTTATGTGTAAATCTGCAGCAGGGAGAGTGAAATTTGAAGATACTGGGGGAAGAGAGGCAATTCCTGTAACAAGGATATATACAAGATTATCATTATTTGGTGTCCACCATGGCATGAAACACAAGCCATTCACAAATACAGATAGATATAATTAAATATTTTGAGCCAAATTCTAACTAACTTGTTGGGCTAACATAGGAATTTTTTTGTAGTGGTGGAGAGCTTGCGGGGGAGACTTCTGTGAGGAGACACCAGAAGCTGCCCCCATGTCTGACAGAGCAAGTTCCAGCTGGCTCCAAGATGGTCCTGCTGCTGGCCAAAGATGAGCCCATCATCAACACTGGTGACACCTCTGTGATAACGTATTGAAGAACAGGTGAAAAAAACACTGTACAACAGGAGGTGTGAAAGAATAGTGAGAAAATGTGAGAGAAACAGCCCTGCAGACATCTAAGTCAGTGAAGAGGACGTGTTCCTGGTACCAAAGCAAAGATTCTCCTGCACCCTGTGGAGAAGACCACGGTGAGGCAGGCTGTCACCCTGCAGACCATAGAGGTCCATGATGGAGCACATAACCACCTGCAGTCTGTGGTGGACCCCATGCCAGAGCAGGGGGGCCTGCCCTGGGCGAAGCTAAAGCATGTGAAGAGACCACGCTGGACCAGGCTCCTGGCAGGAGCTGTGGTCTGTGAAGACAAGCAGGAACACATTTTCTGTCTGGAACTATGACCCTATGGGGGACCCATGTTCAAGCACTCCATTCCTGAAGGACTGTATCACGGAAAGGACCCATGCTGGAGAAGTTCTTGAAGAACTGCAGCCTGTGGAGTAAGGATCTACACTGGACAAGTTTGTGAAGGACTTCAATCTGTGGGAAGAGCTCATGCTGGAGCATGGAAGGAGTGTGAGGAGGAACAAGTGGCAGAGATGGTGTGTTTTGGACTGACCACAGCCCCCAGTCCACGTCCTACTGCGCTGCTTGTGAGGATGAGGTAAATGAGGTAGGATGGAAGTTGAGCCTTGGAAGAAGTGGGAGTGGGAGAGGTGTTTTTAGGTTTGTTTTCTTTCCCACTGTCCTACTTTATTATGAATTGGCAATAAATTGAATTAACCTTCCTGGAGTCTGCTTTGCCTGTGACAGCAATTGGCAAGTTGTCTCCCCGTCCTTATCTTGACTTTTCTATCCTGTTTTATTCCCCTGTCCTGCTGGGAAGGGGGACTGATAGAGCAACTTGTTGAGCACTTGGTGGCCAGCCAAGGTCAACCTAGCACACTAATGACTATGAAAGGAGCCCATCTAGGACCCAGTGGAATCAGTCTGTCCAGGTTTATTTAGTTTTCCTTTAATATTTTTTATAACTGTTACATTTTACAATACTATATGCTCCTGAAATCTTTCCACTGTACTTAATTCTTCACAATTTATTTGCCAGAGAGAAAAGGATGTATGCTTGGATTATAGACTCTGCACAATAATTTTATGTCATTAAGTGTTTGATTAAACGTTTTGATAATAGTGTGGTTATAAAGGCAAGTGGTGGGTAACAATTTCGTGGAGATTTACATTTGCTTTTGAAGACTCTTTGTACTTAAGGACTAGAATTTATAATGCCTTAGTCATTTATCAGTAAAATCATAGTTCACTAACTGCCTTTTTTCAGTTCCTTCTTGGGGGGGGCTGGGGGGGAGGGTGGTTATTTTCTTTGTGTTCTTTTTTTTGTTTTGCGGTGGTGGGTTTTTGTTTTTACAGACCAACTATAAAATACTGCCTAAATTTACCACCGTATGGGAATCCAGTACTCCTACCTCTGGCCCCAGAAGGTATTTTGAAGAATAAAGACATTAAAAAAACAAACCCAGAACTAAAACTAAACTCAACTGCAATGAACTTTCATATTTTCTCAATAATTTTGAAGAGCCATACTCTAGAAAATCTGAAACGTTCAGATCAAGCACAAGTCCTTCACAAAGTATTATGGAATCTTGTAATTGCTTGACATGTTGACCAAAATGCCTATACTGAGAAGCAGTTTGACAATATGTGGTTCACCAGCTTATATTCACCTGAGCTTTGTTCTGCGTTCCACAGTTCTTCTGGAATATATCCCTGATTTTCACTACCATGCCTTTGCCTGTTTTGCAAATCACCATCTTTGTTCTTCTCATATGAAACTTTTCTAGAAACAAAAAGGCCTGTGATTAGAACTTCACTATGACACGAGAAGTATTGGGTAGTAGGTTACAGAGAAAAATGTATGTGCTTTACTTCAGGAAAAATAGGTGCAAAGTATATTTGGGCCTTCCAAGTAATTAGCTAGTACAAATCTTGTCCCATATAAGTATTACCTTATTGTGAAATTCCATTTAGAAAGTTCCATCATTATCAGAAAGCAGGAAAATAAAGTGAGCAATCTTCAAAGACTGAAGACTCTGTTCCAAATCATAGGTTTTGTAGAAAATTAATTCTGATTTCTAATTCTAAATTACAGGATACTCAGTGGCTCCATAATGGAACACCAGCTAGGTCACCTATGACAGCTCATCATTTTTGTGATTTGAGTCCCCCTCAATTTCCAAAACAAAGCATGTTATCTCACATCACTGCAGTTAGCTCCCAAGTGATTCATCTGTACACTCCAAAGTTAATTTTCATCTGCATAGCTGCACAGTGTCTTTTTACTCAAAACTTTCATGCTAGAAGAGATGTACTATTCATCTATTCTGACCACAGACTTCTCTTCAGGATAGTCCCAGGTCCATCTCTGCTTCAGTTTCTGGTGTGGCAAGCACAAAATGACACATGATTCTGACAACCCAGGGATTTGTAGGGGAAGTGGAAAATATTCTTGGTTAGCAATATTTGTGAAAGCTGCTGCATTTGCTTTCTTATGTTTAATAGGAATTTTCAGGCCCACAGACTTTTCAGATAAGCATTACTGATGCACATATGGATCTGATAAGCCAGGTCCATCAGTGGCTTTTTTAGGAGATAAACGTGTTAAATACCACTAAGAAACCTGTCATGGTTGCTAGAAGACAACAACAGTTGTTTAGGAATATCATCTCCGCATGCTACATGATACTGTACTGTCTATTTGATCCTTAGATCTCAACAAACTCAGTGTAGTAACCAAATTGAAAACAGCTACAAAAAAAAAGGGTGGGAGTTACAGAAAGATAGGCAGCCAAGTCAAAATTAAATGTTGGAAGTAAAACAATGTTCTTTAGTCTCACCACTTCTTCATTACTACTACACAGCTTCCAAAATGGGGATAATCATCATTCGACTGCAGGTAAGTTCTCCCCAAGAAAAAAAATAACCAGCAACGCCTAACCTACAAAATCTGTAAGTTATTGAAAATAATTGCTGTAGTTTCAGTGTCATTATTTACACATGGTAAAACTTTGCAGAACTATCAATACTGAGTTTCTAAGTCCGAGCTGAGCCATAGAGCCTGGACTCACCCCAGTGCTTTTGTATTTGGTTGAGCATTTGCTTAACTTTCAAAGTGTAAGCAACACTTATGAAGTCAGTACCACAACTCGTGGTTAAAATTAGTGGGAAAATAGGAACTTTTCTTTTTAGGTTGTCTGAAAGAAAGCACTGTGCACACACACATCAGTGAGGGAGGGTTCTGGGAAGGGCAAAGACCCAGTCATACTAGTCCCCACTGTGGGGCAGATACTTCCCTGCATATTCAATTGATTTTTGCATTAGCAGGGTTAACATGTCTGCTTTTGGCAGAACCAAGTCAGAATCCCAGCATAAAGGCTTTGTAGGACTTTATTCATAGCAAAACTGTTATGCCAGTTGTGGCCTACCATTCCCTGCTGGTTTAGACCTGACCTATTCATATAACTGCACTTAGTAAAATGGTCAGTTTAGCATTACAAACTAAGAAAGCATATGGAAGTTTACCAGTATGGCATGGCATGATTAGCATGATTTCCTCAGGAGAAAATAGTGTTTCCCTTATCTCCTTACTTTGTTTTGTATCAATAAAGTGCTCTATAAATGGAAATCTGTCAACAGACCTTCATAAAATTTCCCTGCAAAAGGCTGTTAATGAAGCTAGGAATTCCTGCAGTACAAGGCAACATGGTGCAAGGTTTTGTAAATTCATTAAGAGACGGAGTTAAAGCCCCACAAGCGTAAGTAGAATATGAATTTACAATTGTCCCTAGAAGCTTAGAAAAAATAATTTCAAATAACCCTACTGACATTGCTGTCACAGCCACACTGGCGCCAATAAATAGGATCTTAATGCTGATAACCATCAGCACATGATTTCTAAGGTTTTCCAACTCAACGCAATAATGTACCAGCAGCGTGTGTGATAACCGCTTGATTAAGCGTTGACTCTCACCACTGGGGCAGCTTTGTTTAATGTTTATCATTCTAACGCTAACAGAAAGAACAGGGGGAAGGTCTAATTTGCCTGCCGGTTTGCAGCCTGGAAGGTGGGGGATTCCCCCCCTCTTCGCCGCGGCCGCCCAGCAGAGCTGCCGGGCCCGCAGTGACCTCCTGTGGCGGCGCCGGCAATTGCCCGGCTCGCTGCTGCCAGCAGCACGGAGCAGGCAGGACGCGCTCCCCGCCCTCCGCCGGGCACCTGGGGACATAGCCGATCTTTAAGAATTTGCTTTATCCATCAACACCGGTAGGAGTGTGTTTTGTTTGTTATTTCTGTGCTTGCTGAATCAAAGGGGTAGCGTTTGTTTCCAGGATTTTGATTCTTTTCACCCAGAGTTTGCAACCTGCTGCGAGCTGTGGCCCTCGATTTTCTCTCCTAAAGGCAGTTCTTTTCCCTGCATGCTTGTCCCCCACTTTTTCCCCTTCTGTGCATATAGGAATGGGCAAGGTCATTCAGTAGGACAGCACCTGAGCATCCAGGGAGTACTGGACAGTGGAGCATGGAAACCGGTACGTCTCTCACAATCCTGTGGCAGCCTGAAAGAGTTCAGTTAAAGGAAAAATTCTCCTGCGTCATCCAGCTTACCTGATTTCATTTTGATATGTAGAACCTAAGAAAAGAAAAGAAAAAAGTGTTTAAAATTCAGGAAGCTAAATTGTGACCTACTGCAGAGCTCCTCTTAGAGCATGCATTGTGTTCCAGCTACCACAGCAGCATCTCTCCCCTCTTTACAAAATTGTGCAACGTCCCTGTAGAACAGCTTATGCAGAAATCAGAAATTAGGCACACAGCGCTGAAGGTCTGCATCAACAAAGAACTTCAGCAGAGGAATTAAACGTCATTGAAAGTTAAAGTACTCCTGAAAAACACATCCCGCTTCTAGTTAATATGAATGGCTGACACTGATTACTTTGGAGCTTTGGAGAGTTGGGCTTGTTCAGCCTTGAGAAGGCTCCAGGTAGATCTTTTAGCAGCCTAACCTTGTAGGCCCCCTACCTAAAGGGAGGCTTACAAGAAAGCTGGAGAGGGATTTTTACAAGGGCATGAAGTGACAGGACGAGGTGGAATGGCTTTAGACTGAAAGAGGGTATATTTAGATTAGATATTAGGAAGAAATTCTTCATTGTGAGGGTGGTGAGGCACTGGAGCAGTTTGCCCAGAGACGTTGTGGCTGCCCAGTCCCTGGAAATGTTGAAGGCCAGGTTGGATGGGACTTTGAGCAACCTGGTCTAGTGAGAGGTGTCCCTGCCCATGGCAAGGGGCTGAAACTGGATGGGCTTTAAGGTCCCTTCCAACCCAAACCATTCTACAATTCTATGATGATTCTATGAAAGTAAGGAGCATCTTAACCAGATCGTGGTTAAGAGTAGGATCTGTCTGTTCACACTTCTGCTTACAGGTCTTTGTACAGCACCACAGCTGACACAAGTAGGAGATCTATATATAACTGAAGGTACTTTTTAATGTATAGACCAACTGTGAAGATGTATATAATGTATAGACCACTTACCTTTCTTCTTTATGCAGCAGCAGCGTACAACCACCACGATAATAATGATCAGAAGAACAATACCAAGAAATGAAAGCACAACTGCAAGTACAATAACCCATGTGCTTCTGTTGTCTTCACTGTAATAATTTTCTGTTAAATTAAATGGAGAAACATTAACTCTCACAGCCTCAGAATAGCCTTTTCAGCATGTTTATCTTTTCTGTGATCAGCTATTAACTGCTTGTTGATTATTTAACAAGGAGTGTGTGTTCCCCAAATGATGACCTCTGTATTTATGGATGGTGCCCAAGAATTTAAAACGTTTCTAAATGCAAATTCTTTATTACAATCGCAGCTTTTCTCACTGTTACTTTTTTTTCTGAAAAACACAGGGTTGCAATCTTCCAACCTAGACTTTGTTTTGTAGATATGCTGGGCCTCCCAGCATCCTTTGGAGGCATTTGGGGTTGGGCAGAGGGGTTAAGGTTCCATTTAGACATCTATACTGCAGATACTAAGTGTCTTACCTAGCTACTCTTGGCAGTGGAAAGAAAATGGGTACTTTGGGTTACTATTAATTTGGTCAACTGTATATATGCCCCTTTCAGTAAGATGAACAGCTCTGAAGTGTCTATTTCTCCCCACGTACCGCAGCAATAGTCTTAGGTAACTAGTACAGATGGAGATTTCTAGCCTGTAGATACAGTTTATACAGTTTTCTGAAGAATTCCATCTTGGGATTGTCACATCATCCTGCCCTTCTGTTTTGACCAAGTATTTCAGAAGCACCCCTAATTTGGCTACCTTTTGAAAAGCAGCCCCTTTTGACAGTTGTTTAGAAACAAGTTTCCAATCAAAATTACAGGTGTGAGACACATCCAAACTTGACAAAGCCCATTCTCTCACACTGGGTTTATGTTTGTTACTTCCTCATTAAAGGTCCCAGTTAATGACTGCATAGCCATATTTAGCTGACAGCCTCTGGAAAAAATACTGCAGCTATCTAGGTCATGAATGACTACACAGTGTTGGGTCTATTCCCTTGCAAAATTTCCCTTGCAAAGTAGTTATTCTGTAGGCTGCTATCAATTGTGATGACAATTGAAGATAAACTCATTCATAATATTTTTATCTAGAAATACTGAAACAAATATGTATATTTTATCATATTTTGTTCCATAAAGCATGCCGCTGGGATTTCAAGCTGCCTTAAATATGAAAGACAGCTACTTTGCTATTGGAGAAAGCTTAATCTTTGTGTGAAGGGAAGAGCTAAACACACCTGCACTGGCCCATACCTGCAGGCTGGCTGCCACACCAAAGTATTTTGCCCCCTGACAGGTTCAGGTTACATGTCACAAGAGGATCTACTGAGCTGAAGCAAGGATAGCATACAACACAAACACTCTCAGCACTTCAGCACTGTAGTTTTTCCCCAGTTTCAGAGGATCCAGAAAGAAACTGGACCTGGGACCAACAGGCATGAGCAGGAGCTGCCAGCTCAACACACAAGTAGGGTTGCAAGAGAGGGGCAATAAAGAATGAGGGCATTAAACCCTTTTTATCCCCACTAGAAAATCCATAGCAAATTACGTGAGGTTCTTAGTGTGGACAAAGCCACTTCCTTATTCTATAGGGCCCATCCTCTGCTGCTGCCAGACCTCTGGACCCTCCCAAAGCTGCCCAAAAATTTACTCAGGCTAAGTATCTTCAGAAAAGAGGATTTTCACTGGCACATGCTGGTGACCAAAGAGAAAAGAGAAACTGGAAAAGGCTGCACATTATTTCTTGGACACTTTGGAGCTTTCTGGCTACCTTAAAAAGCAAAAGAAGATCAGGTTCATGGCATATTCCCTATCTCCTATGGGTCAAAGTCCACATGAAGTCAACAGTGAAGCCAAAGAGCTTGGGCCCACCTAAGGGACTCTGCCATGGACCCCATTTCCCAATAACAGCTCTGTGAATGCATCTGCTGGGGCAATTCCATAAAAGTTCCCAAATTTGGGGGCCAGCTGAACACCACTGTGACTATGGTGACTCTGGAGGAGGAGTGACTGACATAAAAATGCATGATCTTGCATGGAATGGTCAAAAGGGCTGAGGCTAAGACTGGTCTAGAGGTGCAGGAAGGGAGGACATTCATTGACCAGGAGATGGCTGGCTCAGGAGGGTTGACTTTTGGTTGCAATGGTCTGTGAATGGATGGGTATTTCTTGTGAGGACCATGGAGGGATTTGATTCCTCAAGCTTTTAAGTGAAGGCTGAAACTGATATTACGGTGGTTTTGGGAAGGATTCCTTAGATGTTTGAAGCTACTCATATTCTCTCCTGACAACAGCTGACTAAGGCTGAGTCTGTATATGAAGTCAGACAAGCTCTGAGATTTCAAGTGTGATATATACATTATATAGCTTCCTCTGTCATAAATGCCATGACTTCATATTCTCATACCCTGGCAAATTTTGAGTGTCTGCTGCTGCACAATGATTTTTCCAAAGAGAAATGAAAGAGGGTCATATACAATCCCTAATTATACACTAATTGTGCTTCATGACGTCTGTTTTTCTCCTCTTCTGATTTACAGTGAGTAGCTATGGAAACTGAGGGTGGATACCTCACTATTTCGCAGTGAGTAGGCAGGGGAATTTATTAATTTCCTCAGGATAATTCTATTTTGCTTAGTCAGTAATTGGCATCAATGTGACTACAAAAAAGTCATATTAAGAATGTTGAAAAGACCTTTTCAATTGCGCTGAAAAGCAAGTACTTTTGAAAAAGGCTTGTTAATAATGACTAATACTTAAAATAAAAGACACAGTTACTCAACCTCCTCACTTGTTTATATGTCAAAACTTCTATGCCAAACCCCTCATCAATCCACTATAAGAATGTCTTTGTATGTGCCATGTTCACCCATTATAGAAGAATCAGTTCATCAAGAGAAGATGTCAGCATGATTATAAGTTCACGATGCCCACAGCATCATAAAAAGAAAGCTGGATTGGAGTACCTACTCTGAACAGAAGAAAGCTGAAGATTCACAGACCCATTGCAAAAAAAAAAATCCCTATAATCTATGCATTTCCTGTTCTACAGGATAAGACTAATAAAAGTGTGAACTACGTCACCATAGGAGACAGTGTGCCTGTACCCAGTAGCCTCAGCTCTCTGCCATGTAATTAGTGCTTCAATTTTAGTTTGCCTTGAGAGTCCTCCACCTGACAGTTGAGATATTTGGCTAGTCACAACAGAGAAAAGCTCATAAGGATGGTTTGGTATTGTCTTCCTCATCCACATTGAGCACTGCTAACCCACGAAGCCTTGCACTTCTCGTGTTATGGTTTGGCAAAGAAAAACATTTTTCATTGGATTCTGTTAGATTGTGAGGTAGATTTGTAGTGATAGTCCCACTTGCCTTGTTCCACACTGGCTGCACAGGTAAGATAAAATCACCCTTTTCCTGATGAACCTCCAAGCACTGTCAGTGTTTTAGATTAAAGAATTTTATTTTCTTAGAATGTCAGTGAGGTCAAAGATCAGCAGCATTACAGAAAATGCTGACAACCTTAGTGAAAATATTTAGGGTTATCAAAGGTCTTGCTAACTGTTGAGATATTTAACCAACATACATGCTTGGATTATAGCATCCTTGAATTTTCTTAAATAAAAGGCAATTAAAAGTAACCAAGTACACCATCCAAAGAATTCCACACATGTTACTGCAGGAAATTTTTTACCTTCCTCTAAGATGTGAAAGACACTATGTCAGGAAAAGGAAAGCAGGCCCAATAGCTTTTTGATCTAAGCAGACTTTGGGATAAGGCCCAAATATATGCAGCTTCTTCTGATTCTTGTTCTTTAAGAGGTGAACACACCACATACAAAGACTTTCCTATAGTAGCTTGGTGATAGCTATACTGCATAGAAGTTCCTACATATAAATGTTACCATCTGCAATTAGGTGTTAGGCTCAGTGCAGCCCTGAGAACAGTATCACCATACTACAACAGCTCCATCACATCCAGTCATTGCTCATATGGAAAACTTTCTATTTGCACCTGAAGTGTTCTGGGTTGTGTGCAGACACTGGGAGTAAAATTCAGGGGGTTTTGCAAAGTCAGTGGTAAAACTGGTATTGAATATCATGAAAAAGAATTTTGCCTGAGAGTCTGGCTTTGTGTAAATGAGGTCTAACAAATTATGTTAATATATAGCAGACATGGCCTAATCAAGAATATTTAAGATCCAATTCTATTACTTTTGCACATCTCGTATTTAATTTGCAAATAAAAGTGTTCAAAATAAAACAAAGCAAAACAAAACAAAAAGTGCAGTTCTGAATATAGGATAGGCAGTACAGTACAGGCACTACTGTATAGGCAAAGTACAACAAACGTTCACTTACCTAAAGTAGAATTGGCAAAAATAAGAGTTACAGATGCATTCTGAGGGTTAGGGAGTGCTTCTATGTCAGCTAAACAAGTCAAAATCTCAGTGTCCGTCGGTGTCAAAGTTAGGGTGCTCAGGGCATTGTGGAGGCCATTAGATCCTTGACTTTGCTGGGTAGCATACCTTGACTTATCAATGAAGGAGCCATTTGTCATCCAGGTAATGTCTGGAGCTGGAGCCCATCCTATGGCTTCACAAACAATTTCAACTGTTTTGTTCTCTTTTACTGTTAAGGTGCTATTTTTGATGAATAAAGTTCCATTAACTGTAGGAGGGAAAAGATGGTTTTTTTCCTTCAGAATATTTAGCTTCTTTGCTTTCCTGCTGATAGCTTTAAATCTTATCTTGATACCCAGAAATATCTATGCCTTCAGATATGAAGTCAAAACCAAACATTATTAACACAGATATACCATATGCATGATATAGACATGCAGATAAAACTGCAACTTCACGGACACATTGTCCAGCGTAAAAGCACAAGGCTCAGTTTTCAGTACCTTTCCAATAAAAGGCAGGAAATTATACTTTTTAGCCATCCTGATATATTTCCAGCTGAAGGACAACATAATGAAATAACAGTGTTTCTCTCTAAGTTTTAAGTATGCTCAGTTTTTATCAGGGAAGGTTTATGAGTAGATGACAAGATGTTGCCATTGCATGAAGTACTTCTTTGACAAATGGACAGTGTCTGGTGGTTAGAGCTTGCTTTACTGGCTGCGCTGTGTCACTAGTGATGCTCCAGAGGACGAAGGGTCTTGTATGCAGGAGCTTGATACATAGGAACTTCTTATTCCTTGGAAATGGTAGCTCGCAGCAGCAATCATATGAAAAATATTACTTTGTGTCTCAAGGGTTGTACTTCTAAACACCGCTAAATCAAACTCGGGTAAGCTGGATACAGACTGAATCCCGAGTCAGAAAGCAGAAGGCAGATCTGCCCTAAAGACAGCAGATGGTTCATGCACAAAGATTACAGGGGTAATACATACCATAGAATCATAGAATGGTTAGGGTTGGAAACGACCTTAAGATCAGCTAGTTACAGCAACCCTGCCAAAAGCAGGGACACTTCACACTAGACCATGTCATTCAAGGCTCTGTCCAGCCTGGCCTTGATACTGTTTCTAGACAAAAAGATAATTTTTGACTGACTGCCTTCAGAGACTTTAATGCAGTCCAATAAAAAAGTAAGAGATGCAGCAGAAAAAATAAGAGAAGTTATGACCTGTGTTAATGGCACTCTGAATGTGAGTCTGAAACCAGCTTTGGGAGTAAAATTAAGACAAGGAGAGCAGGAGGTAAAGGATGGTAATGAGAATATATACACCTTCACAGAGATAATTCGAGCAATTCATCAGAGGATTCCTTTAAGTGCAGTATAATCATAGAATCATAGAATAGTTAGGGTTGGAAAGCACCTTAAGATCTTCTAGTTCCAACCCCCCTGCATGGGCAGGGACACCTCACACTAATAGAATCACAGAATAGTTAGGGTTGGAAAGGACATAAAGATCATCTAGTTCCAAATCCCCTGCCATAAAATAGCTTTCTATTGGTGGCTATACGCACCTTGAACAGAAAGAAATGCAAAGCCATTCTCACTATTTTGCTGGATGCTGCATTCAATTTTGCCAGAGTCACTCAGCTGGGTTTTGTGGATGATCAGCTCCGAGGTAAACCCATTGCTACTGGTATAATTTTGAGAGGTGAAGCGGTCCGATGTTTCAACAGCTCCTTGAGGATTGATGACAGTGAGGACAGGGTTTCCGTTGGACAGCCAAATGAGAATTACCCATCCTTCCGATACTGTGCAATTAAACCGGGCTTCCAAACCAGCAAGGACTGTTGCATTACTAGGGCCACGTATAATAGAGTAGCAAAAGCCAAGACCTGATACGAAGAAAAAGACATAGTCTGTAAATACATATACAACACCACAGCCACAGGACTTTGACTTAATTTTTACTGCCAGCAATTTAAGGTCAAAAAGCCAGGCATCCTGGTTCAAATAGTATTATTCACAAGGAGCACTGGGGTAGTAAGCACTTAGTCATGTTTCTGTCATGAAAGGCTGTTGATTCAGCTGAGCTGGCACTTCACCTCTGACAGTTGTCAGTACCTGGTGCTTTCAGGAAAAGATTTTTATTTCATTTTCTATAATGCTTGACAGTAAGTAGTTAAAGACATGCACAGTGAACTGAAATTGCAACTGAATAATATTAATCCCACAGCAATAAGCAGTCATCAAATGGTATGTTGTTATAATGGATCCCCAAGCCAGTCATTACAAACCTAAGTTCATATTTATATGGTTAAAAAAATCTTAACCAGTTGAGATGTATCTTTCAGCTCCAGCTTAGATTAAATGGTTTTCTTTAAAGACGCATTTGTTTTTTTGTCTCTCCTCTTCCAACTCCAATATCACCTCTCTTCAGTGATTCACTAAAAATCTGACATCATTTTGATGAAAAAAAAAATTCCATTTTTAAGTAGGACAATACATGACTTCTCTAGACTTCAATAAAGTCTAATATTCAATAAAAAGAAATGAAGGAGTATGTAACTAGTCCCTTATCCATACCTCAGATTGCTGCTGATATTTTGCAGCCCCAGCATATATCCTTCTATGCTCTTTCCCCTATTCATCAGCCTCTTCCTTATTTCTCATGCATGCACCACATACATACTTACCCACGTGTTCAGGCTGCTAACTAGAGCTGCTGCAATTCATGGGTTTTCTTCCTTAAAAGGTAGCATGCATTTTTGCTGCCATTTCTTAGAACTTAAAGCTCCCTTCTAATGAAGGCATTTTGTTTTCACTTTCTCCTCAACAGATCCAGGGCCTCCCATTATTCTCAGAGGAATGGTGGTGCAGCTGTTGCCCAGGCAGATGGCAGATCTCCTGTGCGTGGGAAGGAAGAAGCACCCACTTCTACCAAGCCAAAAGTAAAGGAAGAGCAAGGCTGAGACCCTCTTTTTCAAAGCAGCAGCCGTGACTTCAGTCCCTGAATTAGCCAGGGTAAATTGTGCCATTTTGAAGGCAGGCAAACTTTAGAGGTCAGAGAGAGAACACTGTATACCCTAGTCTTCATGAGGGACAAACCTTCGCACTCTAAGAACGTTCCAGATTATTTGATTGGTGTCTTAGGGAACAGGACTTGAAAGTGCAGCTCACCAGGGTCTTTCCTGTACTGGGAGCCCAAAATGGTATGCTCTCATACCCAGTCCCTTTACTAAGTCACTGCCACCACCAGCCCTGTTGGCTGCAGGTGGAGCGAAGGAGGAAGGAGAGTGCTGCCATTGCAGACCTTGCTGTCGCTGAGGTTTATCTCAGGGGACTGTCTGTGCTCCTCGTGCATCCCACAGGGCACAGTTTTAACTCATCTCCCACAGATACTATTGTCTCTTCACCTGCCTCTAAGCTCACGTCTGCTCCCTTTTGTCCTAGTGCTTACCTGCACCTCTCTGTGACAGAGCTTCTCTTTGTTGGGGACATTGAAAGTTTTCAGTGGCAAGGGACCTCAGGAAATCCCTAGCCCAATCCTCTGCTCCAAGCAGAGACCTCACAGTTAGGACATTGACACAGGACCTTGTCCTGTCAAATTCTGTGTATCTCCAAAAACAGAGTTTTCACAAGCTCCCTGTAAATCAAGCAGTCCTGCCAGTGAGATCTACCTCACCGATGAGATTTTCATCACTTACTGTGAAACACTCATGCTGAGGAAGCACCAGGACTGCCAGTGCTACATCTAAAGATTCAGCCTGTAGCTGCATAATTACAGCAATTAGATACTACTGTCCATAGCAGTTTAATTAAAACCCCGTGATTGCAAATTTGGCCTGAGAATCAGTGTTCAACTATTTTCCAGGAGAAAGAAAGTCTGTAATGGCCATTACTCCTTTGCTAAGAACATCCACGACAATAAAGTGAATTTTAAAGGTTTCATTCAATTCAGGGTTTGTACATCTTAGGTGCTTTATTCATTGATGGATTCATTATGAATTATTGAAAATTTCATTTTTCATTCAGTCAGTAGCTGACATGAGTAAAGGAGAATATGTTGTAATTTTTCACACAAAAGAGATGCTTGATAGTTGTATAAATGGAACTCAGTTACAACATTGCAACCAGAGCTTCGGTGAATGCACTCGGGACATAGGATCTGTAATCTCATTGCTGCAATGTCAACATAATTTTCTAATTCCCAGATCACATTTAATCCTAGGCACTGTATATCTGACCAGGTTTGTGCCAAGAATTGTTCTTTAATATAAACAGCTCCCCTCTTTCCTCCCACCTGCTGCATGTATTTACAGACAAAAGCCTTTTTATTCTTTGTTTTGCAGGATTATGCAAACCTAGCTTTCCCTGGTTCTTCGTGTGATTGACTCTGAGTTCTCTTATGTTTACAAAAGCCTTTACAAAAATTTTCCACCTTCCTGTGTTATGCTACCTCTGCCATGCACCTTATTCTCCAAAGTATATCTCTGTGTGAGCAATAAACATTAAATGAAAAGCAAACTTCACTTTCCCTGATAGCTAATAAAGCCAGATAAGATACAACAAAACATATTTCTGTTCAACTTAAATGTCTCATTTTTTCCAGTGGCATTTATTCAAAGCTCCCTTCAGACTTGTAGAGGTGAACTGAAATGCTTTAACACATGAAACACCCTGAGGATGAACTCATCAACCAAATCTATGTGCATACTTTAATATGTTGCTTTACATACAGCTTATAAAATGCCTGAAAGCCATTTTGTCTCTTTTCTATTTGTCTCCTTCTGAATGTTAGGGATTGGCCACATGTCTGTGGATGGCATCATTTACAGGACTACAGGCTTTCTAATGAGCATGCACTGATGAAGTGCATTCCAGTGAGACCATTTGTCACGTGATATGGCCCTCTTTCTGATACTCAACATCCAGTTGTCATGATTTCTATCATAACTTACATTACCAGGGTTGAAACGCTGTCCTAAGCCCAAATGTGTCATTTAATTACCTATCTTTTCCTGACTTGTATTGTAGCCAGCCTTTACAATACTACTTCCTGTGCACCTCTGGTGCCTACAACATATTTATATGCTGATTTTTTTTTTTATTTTAACACTTTCTTTGAAGTCTTCCTGACTGGTTGAAGTGGACATAAACAGCTACCATGATGATACACATAGCATGAACAAACTTTCTCAGAGTTAATACCAAAATGCATTTAGCTGCTCATGAAACAGGAGCTCAATACTTATCCACACTTCTCCTCTTAATGCAAACTCATCTCAGTGCATTTGTGACTTATTTCCATCCCTGTGCAAATACTTTACTTTTTTAAGGAGTATAATGAATAAATGATGTGACTTTCAGTACACTGCTAGCTGTTAATTTGCTATGAGATCATGTCTGTGGGTTCCATTATAGTCTTAAAATTTATCCCTAAACATGAATAATCAGTGATCATCAGTTCTAAAATTACATGGCTAATATTGCTTTTGTTTTGTTCAGACAGTCAAGACAGTCTGAAGGTAGGCAGATAGGCAGGTAGGTATGAGTCATTCCTTCATTTATCTAATATAATACCTGATCTAGTTGGAAGATGTCCCTGCTTATTGCAGGAGGGGTGGACTAGATGACCTTTGAAGGTCCCTTCCAACCCAAACTATTCTATGATTCTATAATTCTGGTTTTTTATCTGTCCATAGGTATAGTAGGATTTATAACTTCTTCCACCAACCATCTCTGCTGGAGCAATAGATGGTCTTTCACCAACTTCTGTGAGCTAGGGAACAGGTCCATAAGCCCTGTGGGGGGATCGTATAGGTGGCAGGACTGAGGAGCAAGACATAGCTCAACGCTGCCTCCGTTTAGGTCTTCATAATGCCCCAGCACAAGCAAAAAATAACTTCATGAGCCTTCTCCACCTGCTGCCAAAACATTTCTCGTGGTTTTAACTTTGCCTCTTTATCTTTTTGCTTTTGCTTTTTTAGCCTGCAATAGCACGTGTAGTCCTGAACCAACAGTGTGTTCCATTGTCTAACATTGTCATGTACAAACACTGATATGGTAACTTGTGTAAGGTCAAAGAGAACATTCATGACAGACATCGGATCTAAACACAGTTACCAGCGCCTTGAGCCAGCGCTGTAAGTCCTTTTGATGGATCTTGCTATTTGCACTAAAGAGAAAATTTTAGAGCTAGCTTCATCTACGTATTGCTTAAAAAATATTTTGCAGATGGTTGCTTTTAGACAAATGAAGACCTCAGACTAGACTGTCATTGTACTTTACAGGAATTATGTGTTCAGCTCTTAGCAGCTGGTTTAGCATCTGCTCTCCTTCCCCAGAAATCCCACCTAAGCAAGTATCATCTTTACAATAGGGAAATGTTAGGCTGTCTTTGTGACACTGCGTTACTCTCTGCTTTTTGAAGAAGAAAGCTGAGTTAGGACACCTGCTTTGAGGCACATCACTAAATGTTTACGAAGTAGTCACCATTGGTGAAAGTTTGCTTAAACTGGTAAGTTTTTATGGTAACCCAGTTGCCCAGTCCTTCTCAACAGCATGCAGAGTATACACCAACTCCTTATGAACTCTGTCACACAAATTCACTGTGGGTTTTGACAAAACAAAAATGCATCTCGTTCTCTGGATGATGCCTGCACCGAGGGAACTTCATTTGCCAAAAAACTGCCCTTGCCCTTCACCACCAATGTTTTTTCTTCCATGCTTCAAACAACTCTAAAGGACCACTTCCTCATGCTGAAGGTTTCAGCAACATGGACACTGAGATGTGGCTACCTTCATTTCATTCCTTCCTTTCCACTGCTGAATCTGTCTTTTTTCTATGTGACCTATCTAGATGCAGCACAGTAAAGGACAGGATGGGCTTATTCTTTTGCAGCAATGACTCCTTTTTTTCCTCAGCCACATTATGATATTTCAAAATAATCTCCCCCTCTACAGCTATACTGCTCTTCCATAAACACTGCCTTTTATCCTTCAGTTTTTGCACCTAGACTCTTTCTTCCTCCCTTCCTACTCTGCTATTTCTGTTTGAATTTCTACAGTTTTTTTCTTCCCAGTCTGTTTTAAATGCTTTTTTCTTTTCATTCCTTCTTTAATCTCTTGCTCACCCACCTTGACTTCCTCCTTCCTTGCCTCGTTGCTGGCCCACCGCTGCAGCAACAGCTCTGCAATAAATTGTTTTGGATTTGGTAAGATTTTTCTTCAGCACATCTAAACCCTAAACTTCAGCACATCCCAAGTTTATTTCAAAAAACAACATCCCTGCAGCTGAGCTTTCTGAAAATCAGATTAGGTTAGAGCTTGTCAAAGCTTGCAGAGAAGGACTAGCTTGTTTACTAGCTTATGTTAACAAGACTTTTTAAATGCTTATAGGATGTTTCTGCCTAGTGATACCTGTCTACTGGTACTCAGCAACATGTATTTCCACTTGCTGTACACAGACCTCTCCAAGTGTGTCTCCTCATCCCTTCTCTTACTGACAGCTGCCTCTTGGCTCTGTTGCTGGACTACTCCTCTCCTTCTGTCTCTTGTCTCCAGTGGTGAGAGTCCCCAGACTGAGAGCACCACAGCACCACCACCAATATGCTGGCAGCAGGCTGGGACCCTGCACTGCATGTCAGGCTCATGGTTGGCAACGCTTTTGCTGCCAAATGGCACGCAATGCCACCCAAGAGGATGCTCAAACCAGTTATGCCATGCTGTCATCTTGGCAGCCTAGCCACACTGCCCAGCCTTCTGAATCCTGGCATCCTAACAGCAGCAATACTTCTTTCAAGAGCAACACTTGTCTCTCCGCAATATGCTTTTCCTCTCTGCTTTGGGGTGTGCTCCCATGGCTGTACTGTGGGCAATGCCTGCCACCCCAATATGTCTTTCAGGTGGGGCAATAAAACATCCATGGCATGTGTGCCTGACTAAGAGCATTAGTGAAGGCTGGCAGAAGTCCTCGAAAACTTGTAGTACTCTGCTCTGTATGCTTAGGAAGACAGTGCAAGAAACAGAATAAAAACTGCGGCTTCCTTGTTATAACTTCTCAGTGTCCAAGAATATGAGATCTAGGGACTTCCTGAGCCAATGATTGCATCTGCACCTACATACCCTCCATGATATTTGTTTCTATATTTTTTTCAGCCTATTTAAAGTTTGGTAGCCCCCATATCCAGTGACTACAAGCTTTACTATTTACATGGTGTGAGGAAAAGTGCATTCTTTGTTTTGCCTTAAATCTTCTTTCTGGTAATTTTACTGGTTGCCATTGTTTCTTTTTGTCATGAGAAATTGTGAATAACCATTTCACATTTCACTTCCATATAATTAATAATCTTATTAAATTTTAACTATTTCTTCTTTTTCATAAGCAGAATATGATATCCTAATGAAGGCCTCCTTATACCTTTGATCACCTCTGTCACATTCCATACATTTCTCATACCTAATATGCCCTTTCTGAAATGGAATGGCTAACAAAACATCTGTCAAAAACTTGTATCTTTTAAAGGCTAACAGGACATCCAGTTTTGTTAGCCTTTGAAAAAGATTTCTGTGGATTTATATAATACCAAGTTTCATTGTATTTCCCTTACTGACAAAACTACATGGTGAAATTTTCTTGCTTTTTTTAGAAATATACTCTCTTTCCAAGGTTCCTATCTTTTCCCCCCACTAGGCATCTTAAGTGATGCTTTGCATTCAATGTTTTCTGCTCCTTATTACTTATTCACTCGGCATCATGACATTTTCTGGCAAATCTTCCTAGTCTCTTTTTGGATTTGGCTGCCCCTAAGTAATTCTGCACCACCTGCAAAGTCTGCCACTTCACATTCACTCCTCTTCACTAGGTTATTCAAGATCCTACTGAATACCACACATCCCTGTGTAACTCCTCTGGGAAAACCACTCTGCTCAGAAGAGTCAACGTTTATTCCTGCACTGTGTTTCCTTTCATCAATTATTAAGCTATGGCAATACCTTCCCTCTCAACCCATTGCAGATTGCTCCTTTCAGAGCCTGTTAAAACCCCAGCTAGACAATATTAAAAAGAAAAATCAGCCTTGTCTCCGTTACCCAACTAGTCACTTTATATTCACATTTTCTTTAGAGCTCTTCCACAAAGATATCTTTTATCTGAATTTATTTTGAAATTCAATCATATAAAATGTAAACTGAAGGCAAACTAGCAAAATTATAACTTGCACATATTTCTGGAAGCAAAATAAGGTGCCAATATTGACTTCTCTACAGGTGCCCCTCAAAAGCAGTCCTAAACAGACAGGTGGAAGATGAATGCAAGGAGAAGGAGAAATAAGTGGAACATCCCAGCCCACTGAATGTGAGAGAGGGCAGCTTCCCCATCTCCTCCCTACCCCATATGCTCCTCATTCCTGCACAGTGAAGCCCATCCTAAGACATTACATCATTCAGGCTTGAAGTTTAAATTAATCATTTCAAGCAGTCTAAATAATCCCCCTCTGGGGTCAACTACTCAATCTGATATCATCAGTAACTCCTGTTTGCACCCTTTTTAAATTAGTTCATACATTTTGTCCATGGTGGCTCATTTCTTGGGTTATGAATGTGTCCTACCTGGTAGTGAGGCAGTTAAGATGAGAGGAAGTAAAATGAATTTCTGGAACCTTTCCATTGGAGCATTCTCTTCTGGTGCTTAAGGCAGAAAGCCACCAGCAGTCACCGAGTACTTGAGAAGCAGCTTGGTAATGAGCTGCTGCTTTTGTGTCCTGTGATAAAATGTGACTTTATATGACCTGTATTACCAACAAGTAGAGAAGATTAAATGAGAGAGGGTTTGGAAGAAGAGCAGTATCTTTTCTCAAAACAACTGTTTAAAAAGAAGTAGAGGAGCTTCTTTCAGCAGAGAAACCTCCCCCTACAGATCTTGCATCTCTCATGCCCTCAGTCCCTCCTGGCTATTACAACACTACTGCTTCAGGATTGACTGTATCATGGGAGATCCATCTGCATCATTAAAGTTAATCATGAGCAGCTGGCAAAAATAATTGTCTAAGCTGCCCGCAATTTCGTGGGCGCACCATCTGTGCCGCTGGTGGCATCCTGGCAGACTCATGAATCCTGTGCTCTGTCACTGTCATGCAGGGCAACTGTGTAGGGTGCCAGCCACTCCCCTGGGGTCAGAGGGGCACAGACTCTGTTCAGAAGGGCTATTCCCACTCCATGGGAAACTGATGCGTCCTGTGCTAGGTAGCCTTAGGGGAAGGAAAAGAGAATATACCCCAATGAGCCGCTACACCCAGTTTTACTTGGGGTTTTTCTGTGTGCTTTACTCCAGAACTAGGATTGCTATTCATACATTTCCAGGGAGACCCTGGTACCATCATTGCTGTGGCAGTCCCTTCATGCTTTCAACATGCAAGGGGACACTCAGCTGGGGGAAACAGCTCCTGCCATCCTGGTCTCTCCATCCCACCTGCTTGGGGCAAGGATGAGAAACACCAAATCTCCTCCCAGCTCCCCAGACTGAGTACTCAGAAAGGCTGCTAGTGCAAAGATCTCCATAATTATTTCTCTGAACACAAGAGTGCCTCTTACACCCCAAACCAAAGCACTACCAGACCTTCACTGTGGTCAGAGATAAGATACAGAGCCTGGGTAGGAACCATCACCTTGCTTCTGCATTTTCTGCTTTTTCAGTGTTTGTGATTCACTTGTGTGATATTATTCTCCTCTCCCTCCAAATGTGTGGGAGAGAGTCTGACTGCGCTGCTTGGTTTACAAACTTCTCAGCTGGGAAGTTGAAGATTGTCTTTGTGAAAGGAACACAGGCCAGAAGATGTGATTTTGTGTCCAGCCCAAATTTCTTGTCAGGAAAGTGGTTTTTGATTTCAGAGGTGTTCTTTGTGGCAGTGCTGTGCAATGCATAAATATGAGTGTCATCAGAGAGACACCCTGAGTTTCCTGTAACAAGCATACTTTTTTAAATGCCCTTTTGCTAAAACCAAAAGCACACCAAGGCACACAACACAAAAGCTCTGGCCCAGCTGTTTTGCTGCCCTTAAACAAGGAGTTAATTTCACAGTTTTGTGTGAAAACCCTGCATTATTTCCCAGCAGAGCTTCTGTGAAAGCAGTGCTGGTAGGATGGCACACGAGTGTATGGCAGGCCTCTCACAGGGTGCCTATGTGGAAGGAATGCCCCGCTCCCAGACCTTCCCTGCCTGCTGCTCACTGCAACCAACAAAACCCACTTTTGATGTTTTTTCAAACATGTTCAGCTGCAGCATCAAGCTATACAAGAGCTCTGTTCGCTGCTCAGCGCTTTAAGCAGGGGGTCTTGCTGTGTTTAGTGCAGCAGTTGCCACCTGACTGGCTCGGCTGGCAGCTTCCTCTATGATTTTCTGTTTTGCAAGCTTTCAGTTTACCTTTCGAGCTTAAGGGACAGCCCTGTCACCTCCCTAACACTTTAAGCTGATCCCATGGGCTGATTTCTTCACTTTAGTGTGGGGAGGGGGGCTAGTTTGTAGGCTGGTTTGGGTTTGCCCTGTGCATTTTGAAAGGTTTTGATTTGTTCTTACTTCTGTTTCATGTGCATAGGAGTCCCCAGCAGGCAGCCAGGACAGGAGGATCACCATGCACAGCTCAGAGAGATTTCTCATTGTTCTATCACTGTGATTGCTCTCAGCACATACACAGTCAGTAGATTCTTTTAAGAGTTAGTATTATCTGTCATATGAAATGAGACAGCTAAAGCACCAGAAAACAAATCTAAAAGGCAAGCCCATGTACTTTTCCAGGAATATGTGTTCCCAGGCAGTGTCTACAGGCCTGGAGAGAACCCCATCAAGCAGAGCAGCAGTCTACATACCTCCACTTACGAATCTGGCTGAAACAACACTAGCTGAAGTGAGCGAAGTTTTATGGTGAAAGGCATATGTCTCCCTTTATGGAGAAGGGAACTTGCTAGGATCTTATACTCAAATTCATGCCAAAATCAGTAAACAGCTTGTGGTAAAGTAAAATGAGAGGGAAAGGATTTATAACACCTTGTTTTACTTTGTTTCAAAATGGACTTTTAAAAGACCCAGAAATACTACCCATTCCACAGACTAAATAGGATATTTTGGACAGTGATGAAATAAATACCTTGGCCTGAGCTGCTTTTCACCTTCTCCGCAGGTGCCCATGGTGACGCATTGCCAGCACTGCCAGGCACGGCTTTTAGCCTACTCCCTCCCGCATTCATGTCAGAGGCAAGGGGATAATACTGATAATATCACCCTAAAGGAGCAGCAGCTGGATCCAGCCCAGCACAGACTGGGGATCGAATGCTTTGCGTGACACAAAGCAATGTGGGGAACGCCTGCCCTGAAGGCTGGGGAGCACAGCAAGAGATGAGGGTCACAAAATACCTCAGTTCACTCTCAGGGCAGGGCTCCGTGCTGAGGCAGAAGCAGAGGAGAGGGTTAAATTATCTCTCAGCTGACAGCTCCTTGTGCTGGGAAGCAAATAAAAGCTCTAGAAGGTTTACCTGGATCAGGGTTACCTGGATCACTTCCCTGAGCGCCGAGAGGGTGCCTCCCACAGCTTCCCCTTTGACGACGGCCGGCTCTCACCCTCCTCCCTGGGGACGCAGGAGGAGGCTGGTGCTGTTCCAAGCGACGAGACCGGGGCCAGCCCTCCCCTCCTGGCCCCACGGAAGCCTCCCTGGGGCGGCGTGCAGCTGCCCAAGGCTCCGCAGGGTGGGAGCACCGGCCTCTGCCGCCTCTCAGCTGCGGGGCCACAGGGCACACGCCTGCCCTGACATTGTCCCCGTGGCGCCGTGAGGGAAGGATTGCCTCTCCCCTTCTTCCCGCCCAAATACTCCTGGCGCGGTGTTAATATTTAACCAGTCCTGCAGGAGGGAGGCAGGCGCAGCCGGTGACACACACAGAGGAGCAAACTTCATGGTGTCCCAACCCTAAAAGCTGGATGGGCTCTGCCGCTTCACGGCTTGGCAGAAGACGGCCACGCCACCTTGTCAGGATGTGACACTGGGCACAATGGGAGGCGTGGGGTTTATTTTATCCCGGTTGGTAACTGCACAGGTGAGCTTGTTGGTGCCTGGTGCCGAGCTCAACCCACTGTCATAGCACCGCAGGCAACGTGGCAGAGAGCAGAACTGCCCACTGGTGGGCCCTGTGCCAGCCATGACCTCACCAATGGGGCTGTCACCCATAGCCAGGGGTGGAGGGGTCCAATGACAGCCCCCAACAGGGCTAGGAACTGAGACAGAGTCAGGAACCACCCAGGGGTCCAGTCGGGAGCTGAAGGAGATGGGTCGAGAACAGGGCTGGCGACAAGGCCATGAAGTGGTGCCAAGGCACAGGGGTGGGGCAGGGATAAAGCAGGCTGTGGCATTGCTAGGGCAGGAACTGATAGCTTCAGGGAGCTCATACAGGGCCCTGGACCATGGGCACACAGAGGAGCCCCAAGGAGATGCCAAGATGCAGTCAGGGCCCCTGGTGCCCTCAAGGCTTCGAGGAAATGTGTTCTTGCTGTTGTGAAATGCAGCTCTATAGTTGCAGCCAGTGAGCAAACTGAATTGCTTTTCTACCTTTTAATGGAAAACACTGTCTCCAACTGATTTTTTTCTTTGTTTTGTTTTGTTTTGTATTTTCATATTCCTTGCCTCCTTTCAGTTTATATTTTGAGGAATTTTTTATGTTACATCAAGAAAATTTTCACTAAAATACTTCATTTAATTCTGTAATACTTTTTGTTTGTTTGCTCATTTAAATCACACCTTTTCCTGACACTTTGACAGCTGTCTGTTCACCAAAGCTGCCATGCTGCCTCATGAGAGATGCTTCTTCAATGGCTGCAGCCTTCACCTTCCTCTGAGAGCTGAAGTGCATCCTTCACATTATGCTGTTGTTGGTCAGTGCATTGAACTGATGTGACACACTGGGAGATTTTTATGATTAGTCCATCTGCTGGGAAGCTTAAATTGTAAAGAACAGACATACAACTTTCCTCAACTATATTTCATACTAAGCACACTGACAGTTCTAGCAAGTAGAAATTAATGCCGCAGCGACTTGAAATTTCCTTCAGCAAAGGAAAATAAAACATCAGGAAATTTCCATCAATTTCCAAAATTAAATTTCAAAAACTTTACATTATTAGAAAAAAATATCGCCCCTACTTGTTAAAAAGGAAAAACTATAAAACCTGCAGAAGTTTTTTTGGCCAGCTATAATTATTTCTTTTTGCTTCCTTCATTTTATAAACACTTTTTTTTTTTTTTAAGTGTAAAACCTGACACTTTTTTTCACCAACACCCCTACTTTCATAGCAGTATACTTGAAATACTCTGTATAGCTATGTACAAATAAAGAAGAAAAGGAATAACATCTAATAAGCAGATTCCCTCTCTGGTTCCCAATTAGGAAAAGTGCAGAAGGTTAAAATGGATTGACTGGATTTTCAGCTTGAATTAATAAAGGTAACTCTTCACAAAAATGCTTTGGAAAGGATAATAGCTGCTTTTAAAACTTTTACAAAACCACCATTTGTCTGTACTGAGAAGAAATTGGCTCTGTCGTTTTTGTAATTGCTCTTCAGATAAATTTAAGTGCTATTAAATCACCCTTTAACCTTTTCTTTGCAAGAGTGTTGAGATGCTGATCCCTCAGCATCTCCTCACCAGTGCTGTGCTTTAGACCATTGTCCATTTGATGTCCTGACAGTGGACCCTCTCTGGCTTCTCTTTGTCCTGCTTGAACTGAGGGGCAGAAAACCACACACCGATTTCCAGATGTGTCTAGTAGAGAATAATAGTCTCTCTGAATTTGCCAATAATGCTTCACTGAATGTTTCCTAGTATATGATTTGCCATATTTGCAATGAGAAGGCATTGCTGGCTTGTATCCACCCTGGCGTTCATTTCAGACAGGTCTCCTTATCAAGATTTCTACCCCCTGTCACTTCAGTGGTACCACTTCAGCCTGTACCTCAAGGTTCTTGCACCTGATGTGCAGAACTTTGTGATGCCTCATGCTGGATTTCATATGTTTCTGTTTGCCCGGTCCTCAAACTTATCAAGTTCCCTTTGGATGTCATGTTGCTACATCTGTGCTATTGTTGTATAAAACAAGCTAACCACAGCTTGTGATCAGGTGTCACTTTATCACATTGCAGTCTGTCATGGTCTATAGATCAGCCATATCCTTTAACATGTGCGCACATAAAGATGCCTACACCACTCTGCTGGCACCCATCACAGGCATTTCATTCCCATCCCCTCAGCACAGAGAGGACAGGTTGAAGCCCAGGTGGAAACTGGATGTGTCATGGGCTACAGCATCCACCATGTTTACGTCCTGCTCTGGATTTGACCCCAGTGGGATTCATCAGGAAAGCATCTTTCACCTGCACCCAAACGCTCGCTGGCTTGGCTTCATCATCTGAAATCCGCCTGGGTGAATCTGGTGCACAGTGACTGGATTCAAATGTCCTTTGTTCTCCCCGGGCCTGCTTAGGCAATTGACACATTTACTATTTTATTAAGTATTTATTACCACCCTTGTTAGTTCCTTCCTTACTTTGACTTTCTTAATGAACCATGATATTGTGATTAATACAACCTTTGTCATCGTTTAAGATGTGTGTGGGTTAAGATGTTACACAGCATGTATATTTGAATCCCCAAACAGTATTTGAAACCCCAATTTGAACAGTATTTGAATCCCCAACAGTATTTGAATCCCCAAACTCTAAGAACAATGTGCATCTACAAGGCTGCCCATGCTCATTACTGTTCAAAAGATCAGGTCCTAAGTTTGTTAGTCTGATGCAAATGGAAAATCGTTTTGTGAATCATCTGCCTGCATAGCAGGCAGATTCCTACCTCCCACTCCAGTTTTCCTAGACATTTCTTTCCAGTTCTTCCTTTTTCTTCTGCCTGTGAGTAGGAGGATTTTTGCTCCCCCCCCTTCCCTTTCTTTTCTTAACCCTTCCAAACTTCTTTTGCACACCATATAATGTCCTATGTATGGTGTGCAGATTGTGTAAACTGCTGGAGCAGCCCTCATAATTTTTTATCCTAGGGTGTGTTACTCTGAAACATATGTCTATACAGCTTGCTGTGCAAACCCACGCAAGAAGCTCCAAATGAAATGGACTTTTTGAGAGTTGCTTAGTGAAGCCTTCTGTCATTGTCATTGTGGCTGTAAGACTATTTTTTTTCCCCTCACAGGAGAAATGTCATGATGGAAAATTAAGAGCATTTAGACACTTTCATTTGTAAATTACTCCTAATGGGCAAGAACACAGCAGGGGGAGATCACCAGTCCCTACACTTCTATGCTGTACATTAGCTTGTTTAGCTGGGTCAAGGCAATATGGTAAGATGAGTGTTCAAATAGCAGGGAAGAGTCACTTACATTGAAGCCGATTTAAGGTCAGTGCTAGAAACAGGAATAAAATTCTTCATTTCTTCATGAAAACTGGCTTGAAAAGGAGCTTGAACACCACAGAGATTTTACAAAATGTCTCCCAACTAAAAAATGAATGTTCTTTTCTCTAGCAAAAGAAGAGGAGAATTGAAATATCTAGAAAAGTATAAGGTAGGAGGCAAGCTGACCTAGCGATTGAATTATCCATCTCTATCTTGATGACTACAGGATGTTTCTTTGTCGTAATCAATGACACCAAAGAGATGCTAAGCTATAACTTTTCCCAAACTGCCTCTTTTTTTTCCTTCTTTCTATGCTCTTAATCTTTTCCTCTTTACCAAATCATTTGGTGCTCTGAAATGCATCCTTATCATTCAAAACAGATGTTATTAGCATTAGCTATAAAAGTCTGAGACACATAGACTCCTCCTCTCACAAGTTTTAATTTTTTAAAGTCTTTTAATTAATCTGTTAATATATTGAAGACTCAGCACAGTTTTAAGCTTTGATACACATTTTTCCTTAGTTAGAGCCTTAGAGGAAAAGCTCCAGAAATAATGGGGCCACGCCACTTCCTCTATGTATGACCCATATGAATGTTAAGGTACACTTTTCCCCCACATTGTTTCTGCTTTGTGGGGTATGAGAGCTCTGGAAACCCTTTTCTGCTTTCAACATCAAGTGCCTCAACAGCTCAGTACAAGCTGGATCCTTGCCATCTACTGCATATAAATTTATGTGAAAAATCAGGACACTTCAAATGTCCCGTCCCTCTATTGCACAATGTTGTAACATTTGTCTCCATTTTCAATGAAACCTTAGTTTGCAAAAGATTGTTGTACAAACAAGAATTACTGGACAGACATACTGACTATCTGAAAGACACTGACTGTTTCTTGTGACATCCCCATTGAATAGTTGATGTGATACAAAGTGGGACTGTGGGGGCCCTTCCAGAGAAGCTACAATACTTATGAATACCAGTAATTATGCACAGGATGCCTTCTTCATCTATTGCTAGCCAGTTAAAGCTCAGAAATCTATCTTAAGCTATTTATCAAGGATTTTTTTTTTTTTCTGTAGTCATTAAAGTTATAAAAGTCCTACCAAATGATGCTTCATCTATTCTGATACAGGCGTCTAAGGCAAGTAAGATATATCACCCTTTGGTGAGGTCTGCCTCATTTTGGCTACTCAGTAGGCTGAAAGACTGGGTCTGACCAGGTATGCTAGTTTAGGCTGTAAAAGTTAGCTGAGACCAATCCCACCAACAGAAGGTACTTCCCCTTGATCTGAGAAATCCTGGTTTACTTCTTTCTTAGGAAGGCAGGTCTTTGCCTTGACCTACAGATGCATGGAGTGATGCTACTGTGGATCCAGGCCTGGGTAAA